GGGGAGCGTGGGCCCGGCGGGGGGAGGGAGAGCTGGAGCTCAAAGGTCGGATCGATGTGGGGAAGCGGAGGGCGACGGGGCTTCGCGGGAGGCTCCCGGGGGTGACACCTGGCAGGGGCGCGGGGCAGCGCCGGCCCTGGGCGACCGAGCTGAGTCCTGGCGCTGCTTCTGATCCGTTTGATGCTTGGGCTGCGCAGCGATGGGAAGTGCTGCCCTTTGCTCTGCCCCTCGCTCCTGTTGCGAGCCCGCAGGCACAGCCGGCTTTGGAGCATAAACCTCGCCGCGCTCTTATTGCTCTCTGGTATCGCTGTGTGCAAAGGTTGCAGTGGTCTTACGAGACAGCATCGTGTTATTTTATATACACGAGGGTGAGAAAAGAAATTTTCCGATTTCGATAAGGGAAGGAAAAGTTGACTGGCACTCCTCCTCCCTTACACTTACTTCTATGAAAGACCGAAACACCTCTTGCACTAACTGTACTTTGTTTTGCCGTTTTCACAGAATCCTCCAAATCGTGGCTCTTCCTTTGGTTTCTCAGTATTCAATTTAATGAATGCAATAATGGGAAGTGGTATACTTGGCTTATCCTATGCTATGGCCAACACAGGGATCATAGGGTTTAGGTAAGTTTTTAGTGTTTATGTGCACTTATTTTTCAACCCAGCTGGTGGTATGTAACAACGTAACAAAACAAAGCTTGTTAAAAAAACAACTTGTAAAACTTGTAAAAAAATGTGACAAAACTTGATTACTAAATAGACTCCTGTACAAAAACTGAGGAAGAAATAAATAGCTTATGCTTTTCAGCACCGCTGAATAAGATCTTCCTTCTTTGGTTTAGTCATTCAAATCTGTTTGAATGCAAGTACTGCCCAAAAATTGCAGTAAATTGCCACATGGTGGCAATTTCTTGGCCATTACTCCTAATAGATTGATATTTATGTTTTAAAGCTGCTGTCTCTTTTAGATCCAGAAATGGGCCTTCTGGAGTAGGATTGCCACATATCTGAAAAATGAGAATCAGCTTGTGCTTTTGCTTTTGTTTTGCACTTCTGCTTGTTGTACGTGCTAGCCTATGGATAACGGGACCAAAGTTGCCAGAATTGTCATTTTTACCATTTCCTAAGCATTAGGTTCACTTCATTAGAAGATGCATATTTGTACAGACTCTCTGATGTTTACGTCCTCTTTGTTATTCATCTGTGTGGTCTTTACCCTGTACAGAGTATGTGATATGCTTTGGTGGGCACTGTAAGAAACAGCGGAACTTAGCAAGTATTGGGAAGGTCAGAGACCGTATGAACCATAGTCACCAGATACCAGCCATAAAATGAGGAAATCTTGTCTTGTGATAGCTTACTTTTTGCAAAAGTAGCATTCTTAAAGAGATAAATTACACTGCACTCTAAAAGTGCTCTAATCGTAAATATTTTGTGTTTTTTAGTATCTTGTTGCTGATTGTTGCCAGCCTTGCTGCATACTCTGTATTTCTTCTGCTCAGTATGTGCACTCAGACTGGTAAGTGAACAGGTTTTATTTAAGAGTGATCTCTGAAATACTTTATCCCCCGTATCGCAGAGACATGACCCATTCTCATTATTATCACTAACAGCATGTTAACAGATAGCCATGTCTGATTCACTGACGTTGAAATATTGAATGTTTTTAGCAATTATTATTTGCCATTTAAAAACAGGGTTTTGAAGCTTCACGTGAAAAGTCAATGCCCAACTGACTGGTTTCTAGATACTCAGGGTTTGTTTTTTTTTTTCAAAATGCCTCTCATCTTTCAAAAAAGACAGCTCCACTATTTCTATAGTAAAGTTATCCTGGTGCTGGCTGAACCACTCCACTCCAGAGTTGTACTTCAGCTGCTTTCCGTGAAGGCTTAAGAGCAATAAAATAGCAGTCTTTCACTCTTCTGCTTGTAATACAGATTCTGTTTATGGTTTGCAACGGATACTTTCAGGTTTTGTAATCATACTGGATTATCCTAATTCTCATGGCAATTTAGACGCAGGTTTTTACGGCATTTCTGATACTGAATGAGAAGTCACATCGGAGTGCTTAGAAATTACACTGCTCTGAGAATGTTCAAACAGTAGTTTCCAATAATCTGCAGTCTATTCTGGTAATGTTTTAATTCTTGCTGCTTTTAATTGTTTCTGCAACAACTGACTGGGTCCTTGAGTTCTCTCACACAAAGGAAGTCTCCGTCTCTTTCAGTCACTTGTTTATTGTTTCCCTCTTAGCTGTTTTCCTCTTTTCAAAGGTGCTGGGAGAAAATTTCTTGTTTCTTTCCTTATTTGCTTTGTTTTCTGTAGCTCACTTTGATCTCTCAGATGATTGCTTCCTGATGCTTCTTAGATCTCCCGCTCCTGTCTTCACCCGTAGAGTGATCATCTTCATACACTCTTAAAAAGTATCCTCCAGAGGTAGGGTTACTTTTACGGTTGGTGGTGCTGGCTGCTTGATGACTTGGGACTAAGTCTTTGGCAAGTTTTTTTCTCCTCTTGGGGCTCTGCTTATTAGAAAGGAATCAGAACCTGAAATAAGAGCTAGAAAGACACATAAGCAAAAAAAAAAAGGGGAACTTGAGGTATTTTCTGATGATCTTTGTTTACCTCTTATTTGAGGCTGAAAAGTCCTGTATTACATAGGCACTAAGTGGTATTATGTTGTTGTCTGGTAAAGTAAGAATTAAGGAGATCCTTGAAAAAGAACTGTTGGTGAGAGGGGAAAGTGAAGGATTTAAGCTTTTTGGAGTAAGAAAAGTTTCAGTGTTATGAACTTAAGAGACCTAATATGTAAGAGCAGTTTGACTTCTCAGTTATTGTCCAAAGGCAACGTTCCACCGCAGGGAAGCACTTTTAAATACACACAACTGAAAGCAGGGAATACTGCTGAAGTGACAGGATGAAGTATTTCTCTTGTCTGAAACTAGCACTTTACAGTTAATAACCAGTGGTCACCTAATGTTGGCAGGTAATGCTAGCACCTGAACTGTGTCCAGGTACATGTGCTGGATTTACAGCGTTTTGAATATTTTATTTTTTAAAAAACAAGATTTCTCTCAGATGATATGTACTATAATTCTTGTAAACTATTGAAGTAATTAAATGTTAGATATCATTCCAAGTCTTTCCCTGGAATGTTGTCTTTGAAAAGTGAGAAGTGTGACTTGTGGGTCTTTAAAAAGTGAATACGAAATGTGGCCTGTTGCAGCTTGACAGAGTAAAATCCGTGCATGTGTTTGCTTCCAAAGTAGATAATTCAGCACTTTTCTTCATGAAACCTGCATGCGTTTGTGAACAACGTTACAGTATTAAGCTTAATCCATGGCAAGGAATTGGAAAGAAATTTTAGTAGGTTTCTATTAGAAAATGAGCTAGAAAAATTTAAAGGGTGGAGAGGAAAAAATCTTTGAAAGTGTAAACTATTGATTCAAGTATTCAAATACTGAAGGTAATCCTAGGAAAGTGCTAACCTATAAAATACCTTCTGGAAAGGAAGCTCTACTATTAATTCCGTTTTAAGCAGAGACCAGGATTTATTAAGCACAGACATTTTAAAAATAAAGAAGCGTGTTCAGCTGTTAAATTATATTTGTCTAGACTTTGACAAAATCAAATTATTTGTGTAGACCAAAAGGTTTAGCAAAAAAAAAAAATTGCCAAGCATGAAGTGTTAGATTTGGGTTAGTTTAGACAAAGTTTTCTCCCGCTGTTAATTCAGTACAACCTGCATTGCTCTGGGGTTGGGACTGACAAAGGCTGAGCTCAGGCTGTAAAGCAAAGGAATCGGGAATGCAGGTGGGTTTTACTTTGAAGTCTCGTGGCTTTTTTGCTTTTCACGGTATGAGTTAGTCACGAGTATTCCTCATAGTAAACTTGCCAATTCCACTTTGTGTTTAAAGGGATAATTTCCATTCAGTGTTAATAACAGAACAGAAATCAAGCCCATCGGGCAGAACTTGTTTGTCTTTCTATCAGTTGTGCTTAATACTCTTGAAACTCCAAAGGTAATGCGATTGAGTTCTAGGGCTTCCCCGTGTTCACAGGGCTACATTGATTAGAGAAGCACGAGTTACTGTAGACAATATTCTAAGGTTTTATATTGCTGTTTTGAGATTGCGTGGAAAATTGTGTTCTCTTTTTGTTGGTAACTCCACGTGCGTGTGTGCTGCCTGTCTGTTCTCATGTGGTAAAAACAGCTCTCTCCTAAATACGTCTAACGTTTTCCTCATTTGTTGTTGCCATTGGAGATGGCCTTCTAAAATGCTGTCTTTTTTGTGATCAGCAACTTTGTAAATTAAGAAAAATACAGAATAAAGTAGAGTAAGATTCTTCGTGTTGAATGATACCTGTATATGATTTGTATCAGTAACAGCAGAAGTAAGAGATTAATCCAGGTTTATGCTGAGAGCTGACTCTGGCTTATTTAATTTTGTAATTTCACTTCTTTTGTCAGAGCGTATTGGTGTCAGCAATAGAGCAGAGAGTGAAATGTCGCCCTTGAGAAAATAATATGAGAAAATCAGTGAAGTTTTGCTTCCTCTAGAGCACTGATGTGATTTTGAAATAAAAGGGCGGTCTGAGGCTCCAGTCCTGTTACCTGAGCCCTGTGAACCGCCTGTGTTTCCCATGTCTGATTCCATTTATCCTTCACTCAGGTGTCAAGGTGTGCCCCCAGCAGCTCAAATTGCAGGGCTGGGCCCTGAATTAAGGTGTGACAGGAGCAGAGCGAGAGCGTCCCGAGTAGAGCCAAGGAAGGGAAAGCAAGTGTTACGGCAATAAAATTATGTGGGCTTGAGGTTAATTTTACCCTTTGGAGCATTTACAACTGCAGACCCTTTTATTCTAGACCAAGAAAGTGAGTGGTAGTTCTCAGAAAACTTTCATCTTCTTGATATCGCTTGGGTTTCTACTCACAAAATACAGAGCAGTAATGAAAGACTTTAATACATCTCCCCTCTTCTGAGAGGGGATTGGTTTGAGTTAACAGGGATATTAGAAGTGAGCTTCAGCTAAAACTCAACAAAAGCATCCAGGAAACTACAGGCTGTTTCATTGTGATTAAGTGAGGTGCAGGTAAAGGCAGAATTTTTGCTTTCTTTTTAGTTTTGCTTTGGTTTTGGTTTTGGTTTTTTTAATAATCGATTTCAACCAAGGAAGTTCTTTACCTTCAGCTCTCTTGAAAATAAGTAGTGCCGAGTTTTTAAAAGCTGGCAAGATGATGACTGATGTTTATAGTCCTAGAAAGCTGAAAAGAGATCCTCTGTTGTTGTCTTCATTTAAAAAAAATTATACTTTAACAAATAAAATGCGGGAATAACTTACATCCAATTGTTGAGACTGATTTTGTAATTCCTCACCTATGGTGTCATCTACAAAAATCTTTGGGATAAGGCAATTTGCCACTAATGTATAATATTATTTTTTTTTACTATTATTATTTTAATATTAAATTAAGTTCCTGGAGAGTCTGTGAATGGTTCAGCATAAAGGTCAGCAGGAGGACAAATGGATATAAAAGCTATTTTATACATTAAAAATACTATAAAATAGTCTCTTAATTCTGTCCCGGTTTGTGTTCATTTAAAAAGGAAAAAAAAGCAAAGCTGGAGTTTTCAGTTGATTTTGAAGTTAGAAATATTTTAGCTTTTGTTTTCTTTTCTTGCTAACAGCTGTGACTTCTTACGAAGACCTTGGCCTGTTTGCGTTTGGATCAACTGGAAAGGTAAGTATTTATTTTTACCCCTGTATTTTTCTTCTTCGTCTCGTGCTTCTGATATGCAGCTGTTCTTTGCACAGTAAAGAGATGTAAATGAAATATGTAGTTTTTTACTGATGTCCTGCTATACTGAAAAGTCCATTATGTCCTGAAGCCACTTTCTACTACATTTTAGTTAGCGTGTTGGTCTGCGGAAGCTCAAACTTTAGTTAACTGTAAAACAGACACTCATGAAATGCAAGATTTTGGGCCTCTTTCCTGTCAGAGTGTTCATTTTCGAGCTGTATGTACAAATACTTGCTCAGTGGCATTGTTGCTGAGTTGGCTCAGGTTTGTAACAGCTCCATCCTACCTCTGCTCCAGCGGTTAAAGAGACGGGTAAGTGATTTACTGCTGGTGTTCTCGCATTTAATAGAGATCGAAGATCAGTGTTTGCTTTGCCCCTAAGTTCCACAATAAGAACAAATAAGAAGAAGTTTAATGCATGTTTATTTTTTTCTTTTGTTTAGTAGACTCTTCAGATTAGTATTTCTTACTTGTTAGGGCTGGTTTTTTCATGATTAAAAAACCCCAAGCAAAACAAATGACCAGCAGACTAACCACTGTGGTATGAGAGTAATCAGCATGTAAGCCATGCCTTTTTAGTACTGTGTATTGAACCTGTTTTTCCTGATGGACAATGTTGTCCAGTAGCGTGGGGTGCACAAGAAATGCTACTGGTGAATACCACACATTCAATATTATGATTTCTGTGCTCTGTTTCAGTTAAATTGAGAGCATATTTAGGGGGATTGGACTGGATGATCTTTTGAGGTCCCTTCCAATCCCTAACGTTCTGGGATTCTGTGATTTTACCACACAGAAGTGTGATTTTAATGGCTTACTAAAACAATGTAAATTTTTCTTAAATGAGTTCTGCTTAACAGAGTAGAGTTTGATTTTTTTCTGCTTTAATCTAACTGAGAATTAAATCTGAGCTATTAGGTGTTTAGAAGACTTCACCAGCATTAATAAGCAGATGCGAGTGTAGACTGTGAGGATCAATATTTATTGATCCAAGTTAAGGTGTGATGAACCTCAAGAAATAATAAACCTTGATATTAGCAAGGTATGAAATAAATTTATTTTTATGGGAGCTGCTCTGTGCACCTTAACCACAAGCCATTAGAGGCAGAAGCCATAGAAATTAAGAGCTTAAGGAGATATTAAAATGTGGCGTAGTCTGCCCTTGCTCTGAAGCAGGGCTAAACATACATAAACCATTCTTTGCAGATGTTTGTCTGCTCTGTTATTTAAAAGCTGAAATGAAGCAGATTTCACAGCTTCACTGTGTCATCAACATCAGTAATTTTTAAATTTTCCCTAACACACTTTTTCATAATTTTCAATTTAAATAATTTGTGCTACAAATCATCTGGTCTTTTGTTTTCAGTATGCACGCAGGCACTGGAATATTTTTAGGTTGGGAAGCTGTTGTTTTGATTAAATAATTAACAAAAGTTCACTGAGCTTTGCTGATGGACTGACATTTTCTGGAACACTTACCTTTCCCATTTAAAGCACTGCTGGCGTTTGTAGACCTTTCTTAAAACCTGCCTGCAAAACGGAACACAGTAAGCTGGCTGAGAACTTGACGGTGACAAGCATGTAATCATTACCTGTATTTTGGGTAAAACATGGCTGGTACTACATCCCAAAACAAGATCTTTTGTTTCTGTGGGTGCTTCGTGCTATTGATTGTGTTATCTCAGACTATCTTCTCTATTTGCAGTCTAATAACTTATAAGTCATGTATTTGAGGTCTACTTCCTGAATGCATTGCTTTCAACTGAGCTTGTTGATTTTTAGACTCTTCTAGTTTACCACAACTGTTCTGAATTCTAATCCTGGCCCTGAACTCTCCTGACCCTCGTCAGGCACAGGTGGCTTTTTTATTTTTCTGTTGTCTTTAAAGTAGGATTTACTGTTCCCTCCCGACTCATTTGGTAATGATGCAGACTTTTGCAGGACCTTGCCTGAGCTGGCATCTTAGGTTGAGAGTAAACTTGTGGTTAACTACTCTTGAAGTAAGTAGAGTTTTCCAACCTTATGGTGATTTCCTGTCAAAAAGATTTCTCTGAGATTTGTGAGAATGGAGATTTTCTGCCGTTGGAAGATTGCTGATTCTCCCTTTCCAGAGACATGAAGTATTTGTTTCCGTCTGTGGCAAATTCCAAGATAACATAAGGGTTTGTTGTTTGGTTTCCCCCCCGCCTTCCCCTGTGACTTTTGAACTTACTTAGAATTTGTCTAAAATCTGATAAGATTTTCTAGCTGATCAGTTGAAAAACCAGCAACTCTGCTTTTGGATTTTATTTGAAAGTACAAATTTGTTTTCCTTCTTGTGAGTGTGGCTTAATTTGTTCCAAGTGGACTCCATGGTAGCACTCATGTAGGAAGGTCCTGCTACAACAGGAGTAGCAGTGGGTAGAAGGACAAGCTGTGCTCAATGACTGTGCTATTTTAGAACTCAACTGAAAAGAAACACTGGGAAAACTTTAGACACTTGAAGGGTTTTTTCAGTTGGAAGTTAATTCTTCGGATTCAGACAAATAGTTTAATAGCCTATGGTAATTTCTACTTCCATATCAGTCCAGTATGAATGACCACAAATACTAAAGAAAAATCTCTTCAGCTTCCAAGTTTAAAGGAATAATGACATTCATAACAGTTAAAAATATTCAGGGTTTTGAAGTGAGGAAGTAGCTTGTACAAATCTCTGCTGGTTGTCTTTTCAGATGTGAATGATCCTTTTCATTTGTGCTCACCTAATCTCAATTTGAATGCACTTACACGTTTTCAGAGATTTAAAAACCTCACTGTCTGTAGAACACGATTCTCTATAACTTCTCTAGTTTTATCATCTCTGAATGAAAATGCCCTATCCTCAGGGAGAATTTTTTGCTTTTATATTCGTTTTAGCTTGCATTGGTTTCCATGTGTTAAACTCTTCACTAAAGAGAAGAGGGCCTTCCTTTCAGTACTAGTTATCGCTTCTACATCTGTTTAAGATAATACATGTGTGTTTTATGACTGCTTTAGACATACGATTGCAGTTATCTTCACCCTTTCTAAAGAAATCAATTTTTTTTATAGGTTCTTGTTGCAACTACAATAATTATCCAGAATATCGGAGGTAAGAAACTTCATATGCTCAATATTAACTGAGTGGAGTAAAACCTTTACAGCCTACAAAGCTCCACAAACACCAAAGGCAATAACTAAACCAGAGTGTTCCTAGGACGCTGTTTAAAAGGCCAGAAAACTTGGTCTTATGTGGTGATGCTGAGCGGAAGCGCTGTAGCTGTGGGGTAGACGGGGGCGCTGACAGGGGTTGGGTTGTGAGCCTGGTGCTGCAGCACAGGGCGAGGAGCACGTCCATCAGGGCTGGCTTTGCTGATTAAAGGGGCTGAGGAAGCAGCAGCTCTCTGCTGTTCCGTACGTTTGCATCTGGTAGCTGCATTTTATCATATCACGTTTTGGGTTTTGCTGCTGGAACCCACTTGTGCATTTTAGTGATTTGTGTAACATCTGAATGTTGACATAGCCTCGAAGTTTCATATTGTCTTCATTAATGGCAGCTTTGCTTTTGTTAGTCCCATATCTTGTTTTTTGGGAACGTTGTTTGGTTTGCTGACTCTCTTCATGTGGGCTGATGTTCTATGGTGTCGTGTGCTGGGCCTCCAGTTACATTATTCTTATTTGTCTTCCTTGGTGCACGACTTAATAAAATAACATTAGCTGTCTTTGTATTAAAAATCACCTGAGCACTTAAATTTTTACTTGGGTATATTCACATACTTTATAGTTGCTAAGTAGTAGTGGCCTTACAAATTAATTGTCTGAAAGTAGACAGTGTTTAACAGAACAGTTTTAAATTTTTTGGCCGTAAATGTTTGGGATACTTTCTTTTAGATGAGGGAATTAAAGTGAAAGCTCCCTCCTTTTCTCCCCATACCCCAAAGAAGATCCACGTGTTCACACACACTGACAGAAGGAAACAGCATTCCAGCGCTGCTGTCCTTTCCCTCAGGATTACTTGTTGAGTCCAGACAACTCAGTGATTGCTGGGTTTTGTCACTATGTAGAGACCTAGAACTAGACCAAATAACTGCTTTTATGATAAAATTGGAGTATTTTCTTATACTAAAAGCTTCAACGATAAAAACTGCCTAATCGAAATGGCTATGAAACGCCAAGCATTAATTTCAGGCAGGACTGAAGATGTTGATTCCAATATTAAGGATTATTTATTCTTACAGGTTTTAGAGGGTGTTCTGTAGCAATGAACAAATTTCTGAATTTCCTTTCCCGTTGAAGTGGACCTCTAAGTAAGCAGCACTAGGGAAGGAGGGAGACACAGTACGGGTTCTAGAGACGCTGGGATCGTGTACAAGGCTCTGTGGTCAAAGGAAATACTACTCTCATTTTTTCCTCACAGTAGTTCCTAACCTTCTCTGTGTCATTTTTAATAAAATCCAGCTCAGTAACTCTAGAGCCCCAAACTATTGCATGCTGGATATCATCAAACTACTTACTCTGTCTTCTGCAGCGACCTTCTCTGCCAACAAGTCGGGCCTGGTTTGCCAACCAGTGGTTTTCCATTCAGCTAGTTAAAAAGTAGGTTTTTGCAAGTTGAAACTCTTCTTCCAAATATTTTTAGTGATCTCATTTTGATGGAAGTTTTGGTTCTTCTGGTTCCAAGGGCAGTATCTTTTGTGCAAGAGAACGGTCGCAGTTCATGCATTGGGTACACTGGCTCGCAAAGATCGCACAGTTTCAAATGCACTGAAAAGAGAAAGCTGACTTTCCTTCCCTGAATCGGTGTCAGCAGTGCCCCAGCACGCCCCAGTCTGCGAGGGAGCGTGATGTGTGGGAACATGGGTTGCAAGTTGGGCCTCCTCGGCACCTTCTCCCATGCAGATGATGTACTGAGCTGTCGCAGCTTCTGTTCAGTGTTTCTGTTTCTGCTTGGGAACAGAGCTCCCAGCTGCGTTATTTCTCTCCATCACAGCCGTCTCTGGCACGGTGCTGTGATGCTGCGGTCCAAGTCAGAGCAGAGCTGTGTCAGGAACTCTTTGGAGATGACCCTACTGCAGGCTAACAGGCTCTGAACGAAAAATAAATGAAAAGAGAGATGGAGAGTTCTCTTTGCCTCTCACTGAGCCTTGACTCTTGAAGAAATGCATAGAAAGAAAAGAAGTTTTCTCGTCTTTCTGGTCCTTCTGCAGTTTTTAAATGGGAGTGGTGAAATGGTGTGGTGTAGTTTGTCTCGAGTGGGAGCCAAGCTGGAATTGAGTGCAAAACTCCCCCTTTCTGCTTAGTGCTTTTTGGTGGTGTTCCCCTCTTCTTGTTTTTCTGTCCGCCCAAAGGAAGCAGCAGCACTGTACCTGTTGGGCAGACACCCAGGCTCTGTCGACATCTTTAATTTCAGAGTAAGGCTAAAAATAAAACTGTTTTGTGTTACCTTCTCCGTCATCAGACCTGGGTACCTTGCATCATGCGGCATCTTATTTCAGAAGTGACTGGCGAGCATGAGATAATGAATGACGGTTTGTGATGAAAATAAGCAGCCTTGCTAGGGTTATTGTTACTGTCAGCATCTAATCTGGGCTTTTAAAAAGTTTGGTCTGATCACTTCTAAAAATAATTTAAGTGTGGAAGTGATCTGCGTTCATTTGTGCTGAAGAGAGCTTTTTAGTAATCACTTTAATGTAGTTATGCTTTCTAATTTGTCAGCTTTGCTTTTTTAAAAAATAAAGCCTAAGGTGCAGCTTAGAATTTGACATCCTGATTGCACACACTTCTGGATTTGCGGAGATGGGGCAGTTGATTTTCAGACTTGCAGAATACCAAAAGAATAAATAAAATTTCTACAGCTGCAGGAAAGCACTGGTTCGTCAAATTTGGAAAGGAAAAGGTTAAAAAAAAATGATTTCAAGTACATTGCTTGGAATGTTGAGAAGGATCTCTGATGTGAGTGCTCAACTTTCCTGCAGATTTTTAATTGTCTCTTGGAATGCTTTGTGTTAGGTTAATCCAACACAGACCAAATACCAAAACCCATTTAAGTACCAAGGATTGACTAAGGATGCATCAAGATAATGCATTAACTCTGCAGTATCCGAATGTAAAATTAAGGTCAGTTTAAGTACCAACACTTACAGACTTCATGGACCATACACAAATTCTTAGCTTGGAGTGATTAAACTTTGTTAACAAACACCGACACTGCAAGAACAAGTACATCTGGATATAAGGAAAGCTAGGCAAATATTCTCAAGAGTGAAAACGAAAGGTTGACTGGGATGGCCAGGGCTACTCATTTTGGTATTGTTCTATTTGTCAGTATTTTGGCCCAATCCAGCAGCTTTTTAACCGAAATAACCAGTGATAGTTACGTGGGAACTGCCTTGGTCTTGAAAGAGCTGCTGGGTGTGCCTGGAGGGCTAAAAGCGGACGCTGGAAAGGAAATTGTCCCATTTCCCACTGCCAGGCTGGGGCTTTGTTCATCTGCTCCTCTGGACCCTTTCCTTTCACCCCAACTCTGCAAATGGAGTCCCCTCCCAAATGTGCATTTCTTGCTTACCACACAGAAACAGATCGTGAAGGATTTCAGACCTTGCTCTGTGCCCTCTTAAGAGGAGCGAGGGCACTCGGGGAAGCTGTATGCCTGGAGGCGCAGAAGGAGCGAGGGAGGCAGCTATGGAGAACGCTGAGCTATGCGGCTTTGCCGGCTCTTTCCGTAATCCTGCCCGGGAGCGGCAGGAGTTGGCCGCAGTCCCCGCTATTGTTTGAATAGCGCTGTGCTTCTAGGAAGTGATGGATGGGGCTTGGTGGGCCAAAGCCGTGGCTCGGCGTCACACGGCCCATCCTCCTCTCCTGCCGGGGGAGGTCTGCGATCTTCCTGGGTGCTTTCTGAGCGAGGAAGGAAGACGGGAGGTTCTCCAGATATTGTGTTCTCTGTGGATGGACTGAGAAGGAGGACAGTCCACAGCCGTGTGTCCGGTAGAAAATCAGTAGGAATCTTTAAGCACATGCAGTGAAGTTAGAGAAGGAATCGTTTTAGCCGAGCTGGTGGAAAAATGGAGGTAAACACGATAAAGTATTGCACAAGAGCAGCTCTCAGTCTGTTGCCAACACTAACAAATCTTCAGCTTTAGCTCCAGCAGGAAGCGTGCGGAGAGTTTTACAGCCCGCTGCTCTGGGCTGTGGGCTGCTATCAGCTGAAGGTCACCACTGGAGGGAGAGATCCCGGGGCCCAGGGGGGCTGGTAGCTGCCATGCACTGAAACAGTGGTTGAAACTGCTGAGAACATGAGTTTAATTATTTAAAATGTGTCGGCAGTGGGAGTAAGTGCAGCAGTAGAACCTGCAGTGTGGCCATGTAGCTTAGGTGGTCTGCGTCAGGATTTTTTGCAGCAGACTTTTCTTATTTTTCCAATTTCTTGCAGTAGGCTGGGACCCAGGGGAGTTCTCGTGCTGCAGATCAGCGTGAGTAACCAGCCTGTCTTGGCTTGCACGCAGCGACCATTGCAGTCACTCTCTGGAACTGAGCTTTCCAGACAGCTATCTTAATTTTACAAAGAATTACTTGCTTTCTAGTATAAGTGCAGTTTAATTAAGTGTAATTTCTGTAACTGCTGCTCGCAGATTTCGTTTTGGTATTCTGCAGTTAACATGTCCTCAAAGGCACATGTTTTTCTTCTTTGTAAGGAGGGAAAAAAGATTGTTCTGTATCCCCGGAGCGTTGTTTTTATCCTTGGGTCTACCTGAATGCCATAGACAGTAAATAAAAGTGGTGGGATTCGTTCTGATGGGAGATTTAGGTCTGCTGTGAATGTGCTGCATGGTGAATATGTATTTACCTTTGCACAGTTCATGTTTTTCAAGCTTCCCAAAGCAAATCAAGAGGCGTAACCACTGGAAAGAAGCGTGTATTGAAATAACGGTGAGAGTGCGGGGCGGGGGAGTGAGGCTGGACCAGGATGGCCGTGGTCCTGCATCTCTACCTGCCGGTCTCACCTGCCTTCCCGGAGGGTTTTGGGTTGTTTTTCCCCCTAGAGTTTATCCATTCTGAAACTTAGTTTTTAAAGTATTTACAATTTTTTTTTTTCAAATGTAAATGGAGCAAAAT